GATAGTAAACAAAATAGAGAGGTAGTAGTGCCCCCGAGCGCCCCGGGCCAAAAAGTATTCGGGTCGGGGTGCTTTTATAGGAGCATATGCTAAGTAAACAATGGTAAGACTGAAACTTAGGGGAAGAAAAACAACATAGCTGTTCCAAGCGTTCGGAGAGAATGTTGTCGTTGTTGTCCTTCAGTCGGTAGGCGTTCGGTCGGATCACTTCAACCTTCAGTCGTCCGGATCCTTGCCTGTTACGCCCCCTTTCTCGGTCGCTGCTTCTTCGCCTTTTTCTTCCTTTGGTCTGCCAGCCGCCACAGAAGGCGTTTGAGGAGCTGGCAGTCCCTATAGAGGTGTTTGACGGGGTAGTCATGGTTGGTGCATGGGCTCTCCATGAGCTCGTGGAAGTGGCCCGAAGGGTCCTGTTGGGGCTGTGTGCCCGAGTGATTAGCCGTGGCGACCAGCGCGGAGTTGGTTGGTCGGCGGCGATCCTTTCTGTTCTTTTTCCCCCTCTACGTGGAGGGGCCCTCGTCCTGGTCCTGGCGCTTGGCCTTGCCTTTGCCTCGATCTTCGTTGAGGCATGGCGGGAGTAGTTCTTGCTGGAGGTTTTGGACAAAGGTCCGCGGTCCCGGGCCATCAGGGATGGGACTCCGGTCGCTGCTGTGTGTGTCTCGGTTCGGCCTGAGCCATGCATAGACAGGCGGTCGGTACGGTGCGGTCGTTAAGTCAAGACGAGGTGCCAATGCGGCCTCCTGTGCCACGCTCGGCGATCGTCGCGGTGATCGGGTGGGGCGACCCATCTGCTGCGTCCCCATTCGCCTGGTGGGGAGCGAGGCCGCGAGTCGACGTCACGATACGGAGCTCTCCGCTTGTTGAATGGCGGCAGTCTCCACTAGTGCCTAGAGGTTCCGGTGGATCGCTTGTTCACGAGGGTCATTTGGCTCGGACAGGCCGCGCAGAAGCATTGGCGCGGCGGCGATGTTCTGATTGGCCCGAGCGAACTATGGGAGGTCGTTCCCCCTGTCCATGGTCTTGTGCTGGACCCGACGGGCGCGACCCCGGGCGCCGCTCACCGATCTATTCACGGGGGCGCAGTGTGGTGCGCCGAGTGCGCTGGCGCAGTCGGTGGCTGATGCAGCCACTGTTGTCGTAGTGCCTCGCTGTGCTCCCATGTGAGCTTAGGGGTCTCCGCACGAGAGTTCGGTGAGGTGTGAGTCTGTGAGGACTCTGCTTTCACCGGTGGGTGTCCCGGAGCGTCCGCCATAGCGCACTCCCGGGACAGACGATGGCTAGGCGCCATGTCACCGATGCTGGAGCCGTCACTCTCGCCGTCATCATCCATGAGGTTGAGGAAACAGGTGGGAGCATAGCTCGCCATTCCCACAAATTCGGATGCGAGAGGGGGTGGCGCTGGCATCCTACGGAGCCCCCAGGCGTATGCATCCATAGAAGACGCGAGGCCGTAGGGGAACTGGTCGTATAGCGGTCGCGTCGGGGACAATAGGGTTCCTCCATGTAATCGGCGGAAGATAGAGAATAGTAAGTAAATAATAGCATGTACATTACTCACAGTGGGGTTTGAGCAGAGTTTGCTCAGAATGAAGCACAGATGCCGCGTCGTCGAAGTCGTGCATCCCGGAGTCGATGGAGAGCGCCCCTCCGACGGGTGCCGGAACGTGAGCCTTCTTGCGGAGGTGTAGTACACCGAGCCGGTCGACGATGAAGTCTAGGCTTCCAAAGAGGAAGGCCTGGGATGGCTCACAGATGAGTGGAACCCACATCCCAATAGGTGAGAGTGCGGGAAACTTCAGCGAGCCGAAGCGAATCGTATTGCTCGAGCCCGCCACAGCGGGGGTGGCGAGAAAAGTGGGCCATTCGATGACCAAAAAGTGTTGAACGTACAACGTCCTCCCCACGGACGGCGTCAACTGTTGGTGCAGAAAGTGACCAACTAGTAAATATTTATAGTTTTGCCATACGCTGTGATCGGAGGTGGCCTAGCACTCAATGACACAGGGTTTATATTGGTTCAGGCAACGCGTCCTACGTCCAGTTTGAGTCGGTCGGTGACTTTATTCCTGAGCCCAGGTGCTCGAAGTCTGTAGTGGGGTTACAAACGAGAAGGAGAAAGATGGGGGTGTACAAGAGGTCCGGTCAGCTCCGGTCAGAAGGGCCGAGAGCGACAGGAGCTCCGCTATGAGCTATGTGTTCAAGCATGCGCTTGAGGTTTGAACCTAGCGGTTCTACGGTTGTGGACTGGTGAACTTGGTCGATCTAATGAATCTAAAGGGATTGAACTTGAATCAACCTGTCTAACTGGGAGAGAGCGCATCCCCTTTTATAGATGAAGGGGATGGCCTTACAAGTGAGAGGGAGAGAATACGAATGCTTCTAAGCCTTGTTGCCCACGCCAACAGGTACAGGATGATGGTAGGCGCCTACAACACTGTTGGATGTCAGATGCACATGGGAGGTTCCATCGTCTTGTTTGGGTATGGCAAATGTCGGTATCTGCATATACTGTTGATGCCTAGAGGCATGTGAGGAGTTTCACCATGTGCACTCGGTACGGTAAATCCCGGTGCCCACAACACTATCGATGCCCAGAGGCATGTGGGGGAGCCTTACCGTATGGGAGTTTAATGGCGCCCACAATACTGTAGGAGAAATATAGGCGCCTACAACACTGTTTGTGTCAGGGCTGAAGGGACCGTGACGCCTAAGAGGGGGGGTGAATTAGGCGACTTAAAATTCTAACTCTAAACTATGGCCTCTTTTTCTACTCTTAGCAAAACCTATGCAAAAGATAAACTATCTAAATGTGCAACTATGGTTTTGCTAATGTGTTGCTATCTCTACCGCAAAAGGAGTAATGTAATCAATATAAATGCGGAAGCTAAGGAGCAAGGTAGAGATATGCAAACTCCCGTCGATGACTCCGGTATTTTTACCGAGGTATCGAGAAGCGCACAAGCTTCCCCCTAGTCCTCGTTGGAGCCCCTCGTAAGGGCCAAGCTCCCGGTCGGGTAACTCCGTGGATAGCCTCGGGCCTTTCCCACACGCAAGTGGGTCTCCGACGTGCCTTCTGGCAAGCCTCTCCCGGATGCTCCTCGCCATCTTCACTATTAAGTTTTCAACCGAAACGCCGCGGGCCTTGTTCCCTCCGGTACACGGTGGCGGCCACACCACAAACGCGGTTGGTGTGATCTCGCAAGATTATAAGCCCCTCTGATGTACAACAATGGTGCACGCAAGCACCGAGTGGTAAGATGTATGCAAACCTCACTAAACACTAGGCCTAAACCTAGAGCAAGCGCATGAGCGGTGGTCTAATCAACCTAAGCACTTCGCAAAGCACCTATGCTAATCACCTGATGAATCACTAAGCACTATGCAAGTGAAGATCACTAAAATAGTGTATCAACACCCTTGGTATGTTTCCTCAGCTCCACTCATGCCAAATGGCCGGTTGGGGGTTGTATTTATAAGCCCCACTGAGAAAGTAGCCGTTGGGGACGAAATCCCGCTTTTCTGCTACTGACCGGACGCTGGAGTTGTCTTGATCAGACGCGTCCGGTCGTCCCGATCGTTGGAGCCGCGAACAACTGATCGGACGCTGCCAGCGTCCAGTCACTTGCCACCGGACGCGTCCGGTCGTAGTTTCGCCGCTCTGGAACCTCTCTGTACTTGACCGGACTCTGCTGTCCTGCGTCCGGTCGATCTGCCGCCAGCGTCCGGTCACTTTCTTCTAGCGTCCGGTCCAGCGTCCGGTCACTTCTGTGAGCTCGTTTCTTCGCGATCTTGCGTACGGCTTGGTTCCTATCTTCATGCTTGGACTTTGCTTGATATCTTGGGTCTTCTCTTGTGCTTCTAGGGTCTTGCTTATAGTGTTGATCATCGGATCATCACGTTGCCTTCGTCCAAGTCACGTCTTGCATCATATTGAATTACAAAACAATTACTTGCAAGTTTATTAGTCCAATTTGGTTGTGTTGGTCATCAAACACCAAAATCCAAAGTAAATGGGTAAAGGGTCCATTTTTCTTACAAGGGCGGTTGCAAAGTATTGTTCATGCAGGTGTACAGGGTATGATCTCTGGTATCGTGGTTTGACTTGTGCGCCTTGCCCTGCTTTCTCCGTTTGTTCCCTGGTCCTTTCCGAGGCGACGTCCCTGGTCGATTGGTCCCAGTCGGCTCTGATCGTGCCAGTTGGAGAGGAGCGGTGAGTAGGGGCTGGGCGTATCCCCGGTCGGAGAGTGCGGGGTCGGAGTCGGAAGCTGTGCTTATGGCCAGGCCTTCCGGTCAGAAGAGGCCGTCCGGAGGTGGGCTGGTGACCGAAGCGAGCGCTCCGGTTGAAGAGGTGGGCCAGAGTCGGAAAGCGGGCGCTGTTCCCCCTCGACCTGACCTTCCAGTCGGAGAATGGATCACTCCCCCGGCCTGTCGCTCCGATACTCGGGCCAGCCCATGAGTTGTGCGTTATCAGTTTGGGCCGAGCCTTTGTTTGAGAAGCCGGTCCCCGAGGGAACCTGGGTTTATGAACCCGACACTAGCTATAATAATTAATTGTTAAAGAAGGATTTAACTATTTTTTCAATGTACAATTTAGATATTAGTTGTCGTTATAGCCGTCTATGTACTGTCTTTTTTGAGGTAGATGCCTAAATGTCTTAGTTGGAGATTTATGTGTATTTCGATTCGTTAAAATAAAAAAACAAGAATATGGTTCCATTCCCATCATCCGTGGCAGACAGTTCCAATTCCACACAAGTGTCATCGCATCTGTCCCCCTTGGCGCTCAAGATTCCTGCGAAGACAGAACAGACTCACGAAAACTTTGCGCCCACGATACCAAAACCACACAGGCCCTTCTTTAAAAAAAAAAAAAAAAAACCACACAGGCCCACACAGCCACAATTTAAGCCAAGCCAAACCCTAAGAAACCCCATCTCACCCCCTCCAGTTCCCCTGGCCCCCGCCGCCGCAGCCCAGAGCACCCCCACCCCCTCCCGGTCCCCATGGCTGCCGACGCCGCTGCCGCGGCGATGGCTGCGGCTTCCCTCTGCGACGACCTTGAGCCCGCCACCGCGCGCACCCGCATCCGTGATGTCCTTGCCGCAGGCGCCGCGCGTGCCGGGGACCGCGTCGTGGTCGGGGGGTGGGTCCGGACGGGCCGGGAGCAGGGGAAGGGCTCCTTCGCCTTCCTGGAGCTCAGCGATGGCTCCTGCGCCGCCACGCTTCAGGTCATCGTCGACGCCGCCGTGCACCCGCTCGCGCGCCTCACCGCCACCGGGACCTCCGTGCTCGTCGAGGGCGAGATCAAGGAGCCGCCCGAGGGGACCAAGCAGAACGTCGAGCTCAAGGTCAGCCGCGTGCTTGAGGTCGGCGAGGTCGATGCCGCCGTCTACCCGCTGCCCAAGGGCAAGGTCAAACTCACGCTCGAGAAACTGAGGGACGTCGTTCATCTCCGTTCGCGCACCAACACGGTGCGTCCCTTTCCTTTTTTTCTTCTTCCGTCTCGATCTATTTAGCCTTATTTTATATGCACTGTGGCTCGTGCATGCCCAGATCTTGCAATTCTAGAATGGCTCAGCAAAATTGGTGCTTGGATTTGTTAGTTCTATGGATCGATTGCCTAGGAAAAATACTCACTCTTGCGGCTTATATATACACCCCAACTTCTGAGAGTTATATACATTTATATCTGTATATCTATAAAGCCCTTCCTTTCACTTACGAGTATTTACCACAAATGGTTCATCTGCCTCCCTGCAATTTTTTGAATGAGGAACTTTAAATGCTACAGACATGTGGAATGTTAAACTTTTATCACTCGTTTATTCTCTTTATTAAAAAAGAAGCTCTTGGATGTAAGGATGTACTGGCACCATGGTATTTGTTTCTTCTTGCCATTTCTCGGTAATACTTTGACGTGCTGTGTGAGTTCTGGCATTTGAATCTGTGTTATGTTGTATTGATCCATTCTTTTCAAATCTTGCAGTTCCTATCCTCATAGGTGTACCAATTTTATTTCTTTTGCTCCTAACACAAAAACTATTTTTGCAGATTGGAGCGGTTGCTAGGATTAGGCACCAGTTAGCCTATGCGTCACACACGTTCTTCGATGAGAATGGATTTCTCTATGTACATACACCAATAATAACTACAAGTGACTGTGAAGGTGCTGGTGAGATGTTCCAAGTGACAACTCTGTTTAGTCAGGCTGAAAAAACTGAGAAGGAATTGAGAGAGAACCCTGCACCATCTGATTCTGAAATTGAAGCAGCTAAATTTCTTGTCAAGGAAAGAGGTGATACGGTCGCACAGCTTAAAGCTGCAAAAGCCAGCAAACAAGAGATATCAGCTGCTGTTGATGAGCTAAATAGGGCAAAGGAAATTGTTTCAAAACTGGAGGAGAGGTCCAAGTTAAAGCCTGGGATTCCACACAGGCATGATGGTTCAATAGCTTTTGAAGATGACTTCTTCAAGCGTCAAGCTTTTTTGACAGTGTCTGGACAGCTTCAAGTTGAGACATATGCATGTTCTCTTAGTAGCGTTTATACCTTTGGACCAACATTCCGGGCAGAGAACTCACATACATCACGGCATTTGTCAGAGTTTTGGATGGTTGAACCGGAAATCGCATTCGCAAACTTGCAGGTAACTAAGCTGAATTGAATTTATCTTCAATTGCAGCTGAAATAACTTTCCTCCTTCTGGTACAAAATATACAACTATGAAATTTAGTACAAACAGTTTTTGCAGTGATATTGTGTTTAACTGTTCTGCAGGATGACATAAACTGTGCAGAAAAATATGTACAGTACCTTTGCAAGTGGCTGCTTGACCATTGCCGGGAAGATATGGAGTTTATGGTGAAAAATTATGATAAGAGTGCAATTGAACGCCTGGAGCTTGTTTCCTCGACTCCTTTTGTGCGGATTTCGTATACAAAGGCTGTGGAGCTCTTGAAAAATGTTACGGACAAGAAGTTTGATAACAAAGTTGAATGGGGAATTGATTTAGCCTCTGAGCATGAAAGGTATCCACATTGGAATTTGTTTTCCTAATGTGTTCTTTTTACTTGATTGAGCCTTATTTAGAATCCCAATTCTTGTCATGAAATGTTGAAGGTATTTAACAGAGGATATATTTAAGAAGCCAGTGATTGTCTATAACTATCCGAAAGGAATAAAGGCGTTTTATATGAGGCTCAATGATGATGACAAGACGGTGGCTGCAATGGATGTTCTTGTGCCTAAGGTATAGATAAACTTCTCATATATCAAACCTGTTGCTGGTACCAGTGCACATGTGCACTCCATGAGTGGGCAGTGAACGATTTGGGCATTTTTGAGCCACTGGAATATCCATTTATGTAATTGCTGGTTTTACCTTGTTTATATTTATGTTCATTTTTGTGCTGGAATGTTTATTTCAAGGTCGGCGAATTGATTGGTGGAAGCCAAAGGGAGGAACGGCTAGATGTTCTGAAACAGAGGTATGTGCTATGCTCAGCTTAAAGGTTAAGGCATTTTTTTTTGTGTTGTCTTGTTTGACACTATTCAACTTAAACTTGTGGAAACACATTGTATTGCTACTCATCATACTCTCGAAGTAATCTGCATTTGGATTTTATGCAATGTTTGCTACTCTGTCTGAGTTGAGTACCATAGATAGCAAGGGAACACAGGTTAAATGTGATGCCGAGCATTCCAAACTACTGTTGTATATGATATTATTTTATTGCTCACCTGATCTCTGCTGTAAAAAAAGGTGGCACCTAGCTCTGCCTGGGTGCTAGGTGGTGGTGCACCTAGGTGTTTTGTCTAGGCTTTGTTTCAAAGTTGAGGTGTCTTTGGCTTATGTATGCTTGAAAATGAGGCAAATCAGAGATGGAAGATGAAACCATTGTATTACTCATGGCCTTGGTGCTAGGTGGTGCTGCACTTAGGTGTTTTGTCTAGGCTTTGTTTCAATGTTGAGGTGTCTTTGGCTTGATTTATGCTTGAAAATGAGGCAAATCAGAGATGGAAGATGAAACCATTATATTACTCATGTGGTTTACCATTATATTACTCATGGATGGTTGATTGTTTCATTTATTTTCTGAAATGCTATATTTCCTTTTTTTTAGCATGGCATTACTAACAATCAATAGAAAGTACAAACACTGCCATGGCACTGGGTGGAACCTGACAGCCTGCTTAGTGCCTAGCTTATGTTAAAAACCGCATTTTCCAGCATATGTATCTTGACCATTCTACTAGTTTTCATCTACCTAGCAAGGGATAATACGACAAATTTATTTGACAGGATACTTGATGCTGGCTTGCCTTTGGAACCCTATGAATGGTACTTGGACCTCCGCCGCTTTGGATCTGTAAAGCACAGTGGCTTTGGGTTGGGTTTTGAAAGGATGATTCTTTTTGCAACCGGAATGGAGAACATCAGAGATGTCATACCCTTCCCAAGGTACCCAGGGAGGGCTGATCTGTGACCTTTGGAGACCTTGGTTAAACAGATGCGAGTCGAATTCAACATGCTACTAGTGATTTTGAGATGTTTTCACCGTTAAGTTCCTACTTTGCACATTTTAGGTATATTGGAGTACACCGGTAGGGTTGTCAAATGTCATGTAATTCTGTGTGTATTTTAGTTGCATCTGCAGGTTGCGACTGATCAACCTTTTGTCTTTGCTATAGTTGTGTTCAACAGGCAATGCTTTCTAAAAATGACAAAAACAAGTCAAAAGTTGACTGTTTAATTAATTGACAGTTGTCAGTGTAAGGGATGTGAGTTTGGGTAAAGTCAATATTTTGGGTTATTTAGGCTTTGTTGTTGTTGTTGTAGTATTATATTATGAAGTACTGTGCTGCCGATTTGAAGCTCAAATAATTGGCAAGTAAGTTAGTCTAAAGTCTAAACTCTGGGCATGATTGGAACGAAGGAAGGAACAATAAAACGGAGGAAAGGAAAAAAGTGGAAAGGGATGGGAGAAACTATAAAATAGAGGAAATGGAAAATGCAGGAACGAATTTTTAGTGGTGTTTTTAAAATATTTGAAGAGGTGTGTTTTTTGTAACATGTAAAGTGTTTGGAACGCAGGAATATGAGCACATGAACATCACATGCAACTGATGGTGTTTCTCTTTCCCAATATGTGCGACGTGTCTCTCAATCTCATTTTTACGTATGTATGGATTTGTACGTGTGTGTGGACTGTGTATGGTTTATGTGCGTCTAAATTGCCTGATCAAAAAAAAAAAAAATTACCTAGACGAATATCGAGCTGTTAGATCTTTCCTAATATCTACCTAGACGGAATGTCGAGTCGAGCGCTAGAGATCCGTATTCTGCGGAAGGCGTTCGCGTAGGCGTTTCCACCCCGATCTAGATCTCAGCTACAACCATTGCTGCCACAGGACCCATCGACGACTCGTAACCTGTAAATTGAGATAATTCTTTATTTCACACCGGAAAAATGAGTCATTCTTTTTTTGTTTCTGAAATTTTCTTCGTTCTCTATTTGACATCTTTCATCCCTAATTTGACACTACCGTCCAATCCGTTAGCTAACGGTGTTAACTGACTGTTAAAAAGACGTTTTTGTCCCTAGAAAAAAAAGCGGCAAAGCAAATTTGAGAGGGAAAAAAACTACGCCCGCCTCTGATGCATGCGCCTAACTGCAAAAAAAGGCGTAGGTTTTTTTTTCTCTTAAATTTGCTTCGCCGCTTTTTTTCTAGGGGCAAAAACGTCTTTTTAACAGCCAGTTAACACCGTTAGCTAACAGATTTGACGGTAGTGTCAAATTAGGGATGAAAGTTAAAGTGAGTGTCAAATAGGGAACGAAGAAAATTTTAAGGCAAAAAAAAAAAACAACTCATTTTTCCATTGTCAAATAAGGAATTCTCTCCTGTAAATTCTAGATCGTCTTTGAACTAGTCACATCTGACTGTGTTCAGCAAGTTTTGGTGTTCTCCTTACCACACACACCTGGATGTGAGGGTGAGACAGGTCTATGCTGATTCCTCCGCCATGGCGTCGATGAGCGGAGATGATAGGCAATCCAGGAAAGGCAACGGGGCCAGGATGAGACGAGGAACCACACGATGGACTTGAACGTCATGGACCTGATGAAGAAGCTGAATCTTTTTTTGAGGGAACGAAGAAGCTAAATCTTATTGCATAGGAGGCGGAGGCTGTGGTGATGAGCAACGAGGAGGTGGAGAAATCTCAACTGTAGAGTTCTCGGTGATTGGCAAGGTGCTTTTCACCAAATGCGCTGCACATCTCGACGATCATGGCAGCGATGAAGCCGGCTTGGTGAAATCCCCCGCGTCTGTGTTGTAGATCGGTGGAGAAAAATCACGAAACCTGTTCATTGCAGACTTCGCGTGCGAGTATGATAAGGCGAGGATCTTGCTTGGTTCCCCATGGACGGTGGGAAGACATGCTGTATTGGTACAGGGTACAATGCATCCTTGTGGCCATCTGATGTTCGATTCGATAAGATGACTATTTGGGTAAGATCTGTAAACCTTCCTTTTGGGTGGATGAACGGAAAAAGGAGACATGAAACTGGGTAACATAATCGGCTTAGCTGATCGTGTGGAAGTTAATGCCAATAAGAATGTTGTACGATAGACATGATAAGATGAAAATAAATACCTAGGCCCTGTTTGGGAGAATTGCACATTTTCACACCTGTAATTGCATTCCAGATTTATTTTCTCGTGCACAACAAGACATCGTGTTTGTTCGTTCATAATAAATAGCTTGTTCAATTCAGCTAGAAATCGCATCGTGTTTATTCATTAGTAATAAATAGCTTAGCTAGAAGCCTAGAACTAGAAGGTACTACCACTTAGATCCATCAAATTGAAGAGTTAAATGACACAAGCTGTCCAAAGGTTGGTATGACCTCTGCTAACAAGTAGTGCAGGCACGAAATACATCTTGAATACTACCGTTTGCTTCAGCTCATGCAGCAGCCGCTCCAATTCATCTCTCCCCATGAATGGATCCAAGAATTGGTCCACAATACAAGTGCATCTCTCGCACTCTTATACATTCTACCAATTGATTCGCCAGCCATACGCGAGGCATCTCAAGCACTGCCCTTTTCCACTGCAATAAGGGGATTAGAAGTGAAACATACCTGAAAACGAGAAATCAGCGTAGTCGGCCGCCAGGGCGCCGGCTGCCCCTGGCCGCCTGGCCTTCTCCGTCCGTAGCAAGGGGCACGGGCGGACCTGAGCGCTGGGCGCTGGCTGTCTGGGGCCTCGGCAGTGGCCAATGGTGGCCGACGGGTGACTTGCGTTGGCCGCATGGTAGCCGCGGCGGTGTTGGGTGGTGGCCGCCTGACAGCCTGAGGCCTCGGTGGTGGTGGTGTGACCTGGCTGGCTAGTCGCCTAGGGCGCTGACGCTTTCTGCTCACTCGGGCAAGTGGGAGACAAACCACGTGGAGCCGCGGACGGTGGTAGGGGCTCGGCCTCGGTCACTCGCGAGTCAAAGGACTAGCCTAATCTTCGTAATGGGCTTCATTTGTGGCCTTGTTGGCCTAAAAACTATAAGACTGTAGAGTGTTAGTGGCTATTAGCGGTCCTTAACTCCCATTTTCAACCGCCAAATATCACATAAAATAAACTAATACAAACACCAAACTTAGAATTAGGGCTTATAACTAACGAATTCCACAAGTTTTGGTGGTTGTTCATTTATAGGAGAACATGTCAGAATAATAAGGAAAACACACCCAAATACGCAATAGGACAAGGCGTATCATCACCCGACATAAGCCCAAGGGGAGAAGGCCCAACTACCAGAAAAATCAGGGCCCAGTGAGGTAGAGAAAAAGCTCAAAATCCAAAGCAAACCATCTCCAAATGGCGTCAAACCTTGCAGGACCCATCCAGAGGCCCAAAGAAGACAACCCACCGAAGCTGGGCTCATTTGGGCCCAGCTCATTTGCACCATCTTTCGTAGGTTTTCTCTCATCGCCTTACCTACGTCGGTTCTGGTGTTTTGGGCCAGGTTCAACGTACCTAGATAGCGGTTTTGAGGTCGATTTGCACATTTATGAGAGGGGAATATGCCATGGGATCATTCCCTCCTCTCCACCAATAAAAGGAAGCCACTCCCCCTCATTCAACAACACACAAGAAGAGCAAGAGCAAGAGCTTCACTCCAAGGGCTTAGGCCCTAGCTAGCTGGAGAAATATAGTAGAGAGAGATGTGAGCGAGAGTTCAGGGAAGTGCCGGACTTGTTGGTATTCTCTCCAAGCTTGTACCTCGATGAACACTAGCTTTGTACCTCAACGAATATCTTTGTAAGTGTTCGTGATTCTTATGGCTCTAAGTCTTTTGATTAGTTAAACTTTACTCTTATTTGCTTGTGGGTTCGTCGTTCGTTCTGTAACAGATACTCTAGTAGAGGGCCCTGATAAAGACGGATAACCCTGATCGACACTAGAATAGTAGTAGATAGCATAGGCGTGGTGTCTAGGCTAGAGGCTATCTTCATTTGCCTCGTGCCCCACTGTTGAGAGGTAGGCGGTAGGTGGTGACAGCTCTATCCATCCTTCAATTCCCCACGTTCGGGTTCAGCGTAGAGCTAATGGCCAGTATCGCCTGGCAGACCAGGTGCGCTCTGGTGCCTAAAGTGAGCAAGTATAAGTAGAGTTTATATGTCCTTAGAACCTTAAGACATAGGAATCAATCTCTACCCTTATCTACTATCCTTGTGTTGTCCTTGGACGAATTGGCTAGAGAAAATACCTCCGTTCTATGTGGAAAATACGATACCCTAAATACTTCTGGGTGAAAGCTGTAATGGTAATCTCGTGCACTTGCGGATTAATTCTGCAAACGTTAAGAAATACTAACAAGCTTTATGGCACCATTACTGGGGAACGGTTGCTGTATTTTCTTTGAACCTAGTTCATCCTCGTATCTTATATCTTTTCTTTCTATAAAAAAACACAAAATATTTTCACCATGAAGCCAACTTCAACTTCCTACCTTTCCGCTTCAAAGGGGGAGATCCTTCAGCCTTTGCCTATTTCAAAAATAAACCTTTCATCAGGCTATGAACTCCACCGTAGTGCCATGGTTTGGGCATAACCCTTCTCAGGGCATGACAATGAAAACCCTTGCCATTACTTGCAAGAGTTCGAGGAGATGTGTTCGTGCCTGAGCGTCTCAGGCATGACACAGGAAACAATAAGGTGGAAATTGTTTCCCTTCTCTCACGCGGAAGATGAACCAATGGTACACACTTGCTGTAGGAAGTACGAATGGGGATTGGGATGAACTTAAAGACAAGTTTTATCTTGCATTCTTCCCTATATCTCATATCGTCTCTCTACCAAAGGCAATCCTCAACTCTACGCAGAACGAGGAGTCAATAGGTGTAGCCTGGGATAGGTTCTCAGTTTTAATACACTCCAGCTCAGACTTGTCTTTACCTGATGGCGTGTTGCCGTGTCTCTTTTGTTT